CGGCTATAGTTAATGCGTTATTCAAATCCCCTACCGTCTTCGTATCTGTTAAACTTTCTTTAAGCCGTGGCGATCGTAGTGATTGACTTTCCACTGTCATTGGACATATCTTTTTAATATATTCAAACAACTTTAGTTCGCTCAAAGTTGTATATTTAAGTGAACTCTAACCTATCTTTGTGCTTAGTTCTCAGCATATTGCTGTTAGTTGGTGTTATAGGGGTTCAAAAGGATTAAACTATTACCTGGGTTTTCCGGAAGTCCGCCCATGGCGGTTAAACGGAAAATTTCATTTCATGAAACTATTTTTGGAACCAAATAACCACCCACTTGAAGAAGCGCCCATGGGCGATTATACATAAGTAACATATTTCACCTAAGAAGAACATCGGAAAACCCCGATACTTTTATGTACTTAGTTTTATCTGGTCCTCTTTGGAGATTTGCCTTTCATGAGAAAGTGTCCAAAAATAAATTAAACTTTGACTTGTAATTTTCTTTTCTGTGCCATTGGCTTAATTTTCTTTCAAAATTGTCCCCTCGAAAACCATTATTACTTCTTGTATAGTGTTTTGTCTTAGGAGCTTCAAAGCAATAGCTAGAAGAATCATCTAAATGTTTAAAATGCGCTCATTAAAGCAACAAGCCGCCTGGAGATTAATGATCAAATCACTTAACCTCTTCTCTGTCCATCTGTAGAATTGGAGAAAGTGGATATTCAGTTTAGAACAGTTCAGCCACTTCTCCAGGACCCTATTTGACCTTCAGAACGTCCTATATTTTACCTTTACCCTCATGCACCCTTCTTACAACTTGCGGCTTTTAGGCATTTAACGTGTTTACTTTCTCTTCAACAAAGTTGATGGTGATTTAAGAAATAAAATTTTTTGCGTTTGAACTTAAGTTTATCTTCGCGAAGTCGCAACCATGATTTGTCAAATTTAACTCTAATATGAACCCGCGCGACTAGTACGAATATCGCCATTTTATTATAGGTTCGTTGGCAGTATGAGGATTCTCCTCAGATTGTGCAAAGACTGCCCTTTCCCCAGGAAGAGAAGAGGAAATCTTTTAATGAATTCAACAAACCTGGCGAAAATCCCTCGAGTTCAGTAAAGTAAGCCGTTATTGCGTACTTAAATTTATTTAGTAGTATCGTAGTATTAATTTCGTTCTATTTCAGGACACCCAGACCGTCTACGAATCAACCAAACACTGTAAACTCCAATAAGCCTCGGGTATTCTCTATCAGTGGTGTAAATCAGGATGAAAAAGTGCGCTATCAGGCCATCATCACTGAACTTGGCGCAGATTTAGATACTGGAATGACGGTTGGTGAGGCCACCACACATCTTATTATTAATTCTCCGAGTAAGTCTACTTTTATAGTATTGAGCAGTTTGCATGAAGTCAGTTACTTTCTATTTTGGAATGGGTCGTTTGCTTATACTTTTTAGTAGCTTTAGCATTTTGAATTCTAGGTCGTTGCGAGAAGTACCTCATGTGTCTAGCCGGTGGCCGATGGATTCTGCACAAGTCTTACTTGGATGCATGTGCTGCAGCGAATACTTGGCTCCCAGAAGAGGCCTACGAATGGGGTGGACCGGGGACTGAACCTCTTCTGATACAACTTTCTCCTGCTCCCAATTCTGGTAGATCAGGTGTTTCAGGTGCTCTTAGTTGCGTACAACTGAGAGAACTCGCCAAAGCAGCACGACATTGGCGAAAAGCTGGTGGAAAGGCTTTTGAGGGGTGGAAAGTTGTATTTGGACCCGGTTGTGATCGAGAAAGCAGTTTTAGGCGCATAATCGAATATGGCAGTGGGAAGGTTAGTTATCAGCTGTTTACCATTATCTATTATGTCCGTATTTTTTATTGTGGGAGAGATTAATGGAGTTATTTGTGAAATTTATTCCATAGGGTATGAACCTGAATTCTCGTGGGGATATCCACCATTTGAAATGACTGAATTAAACCGTTATTTCCCAAATTCTCCTTAGCAATTCAGTTGGATCATTCTATGATCAATTGTCTTTGATTTGTCATGGTTTCAATTATAGTCTTTAGTGTCATACAGCTAGCTTATTCTGTTTAGAAGGCGTAAACCATTTGGTGCTATTCCAATGGGCAAATCGTTATTCTCCTGTCTATTTGTAGTAAAGTCTTGTTGGAAATGTGGTCATTTATATGAATTCTTGTAAAGGAAAGACTAGCGGTACCGAATAAATTATTGACACCCTTTATGAAGGTGATATATACCTTCATTCTATACACTTTATCTTCTTCCTGAGGCATTTGACCTTCCAGCCTATCACAATTTTCATATCAGAGTCCGTTTGGATCGTTGTGACGCTTTGAAATGTGGAGGTAGCCAACACGAGAGTCACGCTAAAATCGACCCTTGGGTCTCCTTTATTACAATTTTTGTTTAGTGCATTTGTATGACTGCTCATCAGACTATTGCAATCTATGTTTATTATTCGTACACCCAAATATGACCATTCAGTGGCGAACGCATGATTATAGTATCATTTTATCACAAAATTCCCACTCCTATCTACTGACTTCAATATCACCTTTAGGGTACATCGTACATGTAAAAAATGCCGCCCTTAGCCATGTGTGTGCACTAAGCATCACTTCTTATATTTCCCCTCTACCCCCCCCCCCCCTCACTTCCCCTCACGCACCATCATTACTCGTTTTTCCTCCTCTATGAGTCATTCCTAACCCTCCCCATACTTCATCTCACTGCCTGCTTCAGACTTTGTGCCTTGTTAGTGAGTCATGCTCTCTTCTGTCTCCTTCATGTAGGCGCTTTTTCTGTTTCTATGTGGGGAGCATTTTCTGTCACCGCATAGTTCCTTTTTTAGTGAAAAGCATGATAAATTATGTTTGGGTTATCTAATTATGCGTAATGGTTCGAAAGTAGATTTGTACGGCATATACTGTTAGCTTTGGGGTCACCATTACTAATGCCTCATTCATATTTGGTATAACTTTCTGCGTTTTCCGCTTTGCTATCTCTATTGTCCATAATTATATCGAAAGATCCGAATGTTGTAACTTCTTGTTGAATTAGTTAATTAAATCCCACTAATGGTACTTTTTCGGGCATTTCGAACGGCACTTTTGGCTTATTTGCTTACGGGATAATTGCTGAAACTATGTAAGAACTCGAAAAAACTGCTGCCTTATATCGCTTACTTCCATAATTTATTCATTATTCACCTCGACTGAACACTAAACATCTATTGCCTTACAACCTTTATTTGGGCGTCAATCTGGGAATTAGTATTAATGAGATTATAGGGGTGACCACAATGACCATTGTGTGTAGAATGAGCATGTCATGAAACTGAAATGTTTAGAGTTTAGACATTCATTAAGGTACCGGTTTAATTTAGTAAATAAAATAAGCACCCCCCAGACTGCTAAATGCTCAAATCGTCGGGATTGGAAGTTTTCAACTCAAATGTCTGAGTGCAAGGCTGATGGGAGATTCTTGTTGAGATGCAACGGTGTCAGAATCTGTTATGCAAATCTCAAAGTCGTAGATTCTCAATAATTGATTCCAAACAGCTTAAGAGACTTCCGACCAAAACTCATGTATGTAATCGAATTTCAAATTACTTAATGAATGGTATTTAAAACTGGGGGGTTACTTTTAAATCACTATTTGATAAAAACCAATCATTAATTATTGATTTATAAGATACCATGATATACCCCTATTTGTTTACACAATACCGCAAAGGAGCTCTTTGTTTACTGTCTCAACCTGTTGTTTTTCAGTTTGCTACTTTTTCCACCCCAACAGCCGCACCTAGATTACCACTTAGTACATTAAAGTTCGTTCCCTCCTCTCTCTCCCCCTCCCCCTCTCTCGCCCCATTTCATATCACGCGGGTTGCATTATTGCTATGCTTGTTTTATTTTTTACCACGTTCTGTTTTCTGTTTGCTTGTTTAATATGGTGGGTGGGTATAGCTGAATTAGGACTTATCTCCTACCTTCAAGGTCCTTGATTTAGTCTATTCCAATTCGTGTATGCTGCTTACTTCCGTTTGGCCAATACCAAACTGTGTGTGTGTGTGTGCACGCACATTTTATGGTGTTCTGGTAGGCATAACTAGGACCATTGTCCAATTGTTTCCTACAGTTTGTGTGTGGTCATACCTTTATTACACAAGCTTTTATAATGGAGAAATTGTTCACATATGTGGGCTCTTTGAAAATGGTACATTCTTTGAAAGCCTCGATTTAGACTAATGGGCAGGTTTATTGATTTAGAATCGTTCCCGAATTATGGCATGATTGAATAAAGATATTCCAGCATCAGAATGCTCAAGAAAGTTGTAAGGTATCAATACACCTTGAAAGTATAAATTTATTGGTTTGTATGCAGATGATGATGATGCTTGTGTACTTATTTCCAAGATCTTCGAGAATTGCCGTTAGACCCCACCCCCACCCCCGAGCGCATTTGGTAATCCTTGATGATGAAAATTTGTAATAAAATTCAATTTCGTCTGCATTAATAATCTGCGAAGAAAATTATAATTTGGTCAGTTTTATTTTACCCTTAGTGGTTTTGCCTTTTTCTACGTCAATTATTCGCTGTTGTTCTTCGTTCTCACTTCAAGACCGCGTGTTCATTCAGAATCTGTTCAATGGCTTATGTATGTCTCATCTTAAATGCCAAGTGAATTGGAGGCAAATTTAATTCCAATCTTGCCAGCAATTTAAGCTTGTCCATTTTTTTCTCTTGCCGTTTCCGTTCTCCGTTGCCTTTTTTTCTTCTCAAATTCTTCACAAATGACGTTTTTTCCTGAATCTAATTATAATTTTGTCTCCCTCAACTGCCTTCCTTCTACTCCACAGCGAAGATCATCAGCCTAAAGCTGAAACGATGTGGATGATTCATCAGTTTAATGAAATACTGCAATATTTGGAGAAGTTGCATGGGCACTGTTTTATTGTACCATACCGAAGAGACCAAAATTGTATGGTGATAAATGGCTTATAAAGTTCTGTACTTTTCTACTTAATCCATTCATAAGAAATAGAATTTCCCTCTATTGATTGGTTGGCTGTTTCATAGTGTCCTAGACCAATTATGATTCATTTAAAACTCCCACTTCTTGAAAAAAGGAAGTTTAGGTTTCCTAACGTACAATGGCATTCATTTCAGCTGGGCAAATGTAAACAGTTCAGAAATCTATGGCATTTCATTTTCTGGACTTTAATTGGCAACCTATAGAATTACAGATGAACTTTTTAGCCCTCCCCCTTTTTTGTATTACAAACTGTCCCTTAGTAAGTGTGCTGAATCACTTTATAGGGAGGTTCAAGTAGTCTTATTGATTGTGCCATAGCGAATAATGTCCAGTTTTTTTTAGCCTTTCAGTCCCCTCTTGTGTGTTGTTTCTCTCTCCCTAATATTCATCCTTGTCTCAAGACAAATCTGCGTGGAGTCTGTTTGGGTTCAGCAACTATTCATTCGTCTTCACTTTATTAAAATCTAGATTGAATTCATTTCTCTCTATTTTGATGTCTTCTCTACTTAACTTGCGTGAACTGAATCACGTTGAATGGTATTTAGTTCTCACCATTCTGAGAAAAGAGAAGTAACGGTCTTTTTTATTCTAATATGTGTCCTATTCCTGTTGGCATTCATTAACCCTTGCGAAAGCAAATCTACTTCTCTATGGCTGAGTTTCAATCTTCTCTCCCAAGATTTGACTCACTCTCCATATCTTTCCGTTATTTTGGTCCAGTCTATTGGTGGTAAATTTTTGCCTTTGAGTGTCGATTCTCATTCACGAAGTTTCCAGCTCAAAGGATGTCTACCCCGTGCATTCCTTTTCTGCTCCTTTACTTTACCCCCCCCCACTCCCCCCTCCATAACTCATGCCTCAAAGGTACCCATTTGTCAAAAATAGGTAGTCATTGTACAGTTTGTTCTAATTACCTTTCTCTGATCGTTGTTGTCTTTGTTTTAAGCGGACTAAAGACCACGCCAAATGGCTCTTCCACGTTTCTGTCTCCCGGCAAGGCTCCTTGTTTGGTGTTAGCTCGTCGGTGGTACTTAGTTTAACTAATATTGCAATCTAAATATTATTCTCGATACCAAGACTCTCCTATTCGTTACTTTTGGGGCAACATTTTATTCATTTTGTCCTTATCGTTTTCCCTGCCTATTTGCGTTTCCAAATTTTATTCTTTATGGACGATTACGCTTGCTGTATCATTTAGCTTGAGTTAAGAAGTCACTCTTTACCCAAGGTCATGACTCTGGTAAGCTTTCATGATGATACTTAGAACCTGTTATCTCCCCCCTGTTGTTGAAGATTTGAAGAAGAACTTTGTTATTAATTCAATTGAAAAATGTTTGCTCATTGGGATTGAAGACGTGGCGTACATCTCTCTTGGGTTTTGTGTGATATTATACTTTTTCCCCCAATCATTTGGACGTTTAATAACGGACTTAATTGTGACTGAAACCGTAGATGAAATGGCTAAACTTTGTTTCAATCACCTAGTGTATATATGTGTATGGGGGGTCTATGACCCACTTGAAATCCACTTGTCGAATTCAAATTCAACACTATTCAATTTTCAATTGTTTTGCTTGTTGTTTTCGCACAAACAATCCTATTTTTAGCCTCTGTCTCGTTTTCCATGTTTCGCGCTGAATTAGGCCACTTCGAGTGGCGTATTGTCGGTTCTTATATTACGCCACAGTTGTGAGTTAATTTTGCTCTGATTCAAGTTGAGTTTAATGGGCCATTTGAAATTAGATGGGTAAAAATTGCAGAAAAAAGAAATGTTTATTTCAATACAAAGTCGATTGTCAAGTGTTTTATATGTTATATAAAGTCTCCCCTTCCGTTTACCTAGACGGTTTGCTAATCAGCTTAATAGACAAGACAGAAATTAGTCCGTTCCCTTATTTGTCGTAGCCATGTTTTTAGTTCACTTAAAAAAACAAATTCCTTTGTGTTTTGCTGGTATAGGATTTGTTACAAGTCTAGTCCCACGGATTTGATGGTTTGTAATTATTTTTGGGGGGTCGGAGGGGGGGGGGGAGGGGTTATATGTAATTCAAATAAGTTGTTGGAATGAGAGCAGGGTATCACCAATACTGATTTACTGGATATTGGTTGAGATGGAGATATATGTAAAAGGGGAAGAAAAAAGCGAGTGGAATTAGCGCAGATTTAGGCATTTTCATCGTGTTTATGGAAGTACACGCTGTTACAAACGCAAGTGCCAACTCATTCGCACTTTTAACTTCAAAGTTGAATTAATAACTGTCTTCCAGACAGGACGTTCGAATTTTACGTCGAACCGGCACACCTGTTGTAAATCTCACCTGTTTGAAGCCGTTATTGAAAAGTTAGTACATTCGACATCTGCAAAATCCATT